CACGATCCAGAAAACAGGAGCAAAGATGCCAGTAAATTATTAGGTTTAGTCAAATTACCATTGCTATCACCCGCGGTAAGTTCATCGACAGCTCAATTTTTTCACTCGCCAGAACTTGTGCATTAGCACTAATAAATTAAAACAGTTTATAGCTGACAATATTGAGAGTAACGAAATGTTCAAAGACCAAAGAATGGTGCAGGAATTTGTAATGGAAGCATTTAAGTATCATTTGCTGCCTGAGCGAAAATCTTTGCTTCAAACAGGCAGAACGAAACCCAGAAAAGCCACTGTGGGTACGTTGTTAGCTGTCGGAGGGATGGGCACCAATAAAGGTAATTTATTATATCCAAAATGAATTATTTAATATTAATCGCATAACTGATAATTAATCGATCACGATTAATGTAAAGAAAATATATTATACCAATATTGTCGCACTATTTTAATTTTTCCAAGCGAAATAATTTACAACGTACTTTCTAGGTGCACAATTTGTAGAGGCATTTTCATTACGCGATAATGCCTGGAGATCTCTAGATAAACCCTGGTCACTCATAACCTGTAGACTATACTGTGGCGTAGTAGTAGTCGATAAAAAATTGATTGTCGCGGGCGGTATAGACGTCAAAGGCCTCCACGGGACGATTAGTATGGACGATTTGAAAGCATCGAACACAGTAGAATGCCTCGATTTCTCCACTCTTACGTGGAGCACTCTACCCTCTATGAATGTTCGTCGATGCGGATTAGGTATGTGAAATGCATGAGAATTTGGAAAATTAATGTGCAATTTATTTCATTTATTCATAATCAAACCTTGGCAAATACGTTATAATATTCTTTTTTAGGAGTGGCAGTCTTAGGTGGACTTTTATATGCTGTTGGTGGTTTTGACGTCGACAGTCGTTGTTTTTTTAATGCGGTAGAGAGATGGGATCCGGGAACAGGTCATTGGAGTTCAATATGTCCTATGTCCATACAAAGAACTGAAGTCGGTGTAGCTGTGTTAAATGATAAGCAAGTCTTTACAGATAAATTATTAAATTTATATGTCATATCTGTTTTCAATCATTTTAATTTCCTTTTTAGTACGTGTCTTCGTATAAATATTATTTTATTAACTTTAAATTTTATTAAATATTGAATTTTTTAAAATAAATTTAATATTAAATTTTTTATGATGTTTTAGATTGTATGCCGTAGGAGGAAGAGATATCAGTTCCTGCTTAAATACAGTAGAATGTTACGATCCGCACACGAACAAATGGACACCGTGCGCACCTATGTCGAAGAGACGAGGCGACGTAGGCGTAGGAGTAGTGAATGGTTGTCTTTATGCACTCGGTGGTTACGACGCTCCAGCTAACAATGCTAGCATATGTGTAGAAAGGTATAAAGCCGCTGTTACATTATATGTTAAAGCTTTCAAATTATATATAATGCGATGTAACAATATATAGATATGATCCTAAAACCGATACGTGGACTGTGGTTGCGCCAATGAGTGTGCCCCGGAGTAAAGTTGGTGTGTGCGTATTAGGTGACCGACTTATGGCCGTGGGAGGATTCGACGGCCGACAATATCTCACACTAGTGGAAGCCTACGATCCACATCTCAACGAATGGGAACCTGTGAGTGTATAAACTATTCCTGTAATTGAATATGGTAAATAGAAATAATTGTAAATATATTTTGTAAACTGAAACGTGTTTATATTTGTAGGTTGCTCCTCTTAAGGCTGGCCGTGCGGGACCTTGTGTTGTTGTAAAAAGTTTAACCAATAACATGTAGGTTATTTTCACTAAACGATCAGTAATTGGATTTGCTAATTATGCAAATTTATCATTAAGATTAATCCTTAAATACATAATTTTTTGTAGAACTCTATTTTTTTAGTAAATAATTGTTGATTAAAGCATTAAAGAATTCTAAAAGAGATATAAGAATTTCTTTACTGAGTTGAACCTTCTCAAGGAAAGGGAAAAAGGGCCAAAAAAGATCTTTTACAGATATACAAAGCCACGTGTTTGAACTTAATAAGGAAAAGTACACAAAACAGCAAAAAATTGCTTCAAATATATGCAAAACTGTGCTTTGAAAGGTGCCATTTCACGTTGACGCTCGACGCTTATTTTCAGCGAACAAAAATCAGCAAAAATAATATATTTTGGTAAATCTGAAGGTTTTATAATGTAACTTTTTATTCGATTATGTATCAATACAGATAAATGTGAACAGTTCAAGATTTGACTTCAGTTGACATTCGTACAAGAGAAATGTCGCGACCACGGTCGTCACGACCGTGGTCGCGACATTGCATCTCTTCGCTGTAGGCAGCTATCATGCCATCTAGGTCTACCTTAATAGCCTGCCGTTTTGTTCATTCATTTTGAACGTCAAAATTCTGGTTTATTTTATAGGTTGGCGATATTTTACAGATTGTTTTACATTTGGTTTCATAACCCGGAGTCTGCATTTTCGCTCATCCATACATATCGTTTTTCATCTTTCAGAAATCTTCGAAACCGACCGCAGAGATCGGTCACATCGAACATGTCAAAAATCATGCTGGATATTTCAAAATATTTCAAAAGGCAGCTGTTTGATGATATCGAATCTCTTTTGTATGTATAAGCAGCATCGACTGCGGAGTTATCATTATCCTTTAGACTTTCGAATCTACAGGTCACAAATCGGGAGCAGTGGAAGCCTTTAGGAGAATTGTTTCCTATTTTGATGTATTCATACAAAAGATATTGGACATCATCAAACAGCTGCCTGTTCAAATATCCAACATGATTTTTGGCATGTTGGACAATCGGTCTTTCCGGTCGGCTTCAACGGTGTCTGAAGCATGGGAGACGATAGCTATGGACGAACGGAGACGCAGGCTCCGTCTTGCGAAATTAAATGTAATGCCTGTAAAATGTAAACCTGATGTAAAATGTAATAAAATTTTAACTTTTAAATTCAATGAACGAAACGGCAGAACTATTAAGATAGATCCGACTCGGTCTCGCCGATGTATCCAATTTAATAGAGATAAGAGAATAAGTAATCTGCGCTTTT